TAAATACCGCCTGACATCATTTGTCCTTCAGAGGATCAATGACTGCATGACCTAAATATTGTTTTCATTTCTGTATATAAAATGGCTAGAAATTGAAACTAAGGACTTTCTGTTTGAGCTGAATCACAATATTTTTAAAAAAGTCTGAAATCAACAATTCAGCTTCTTGTATTAAAATGGATAACTTTTCAAGGTAGGTAATTACACATACTTGTTTATGAATGAGGTTTTAAAAGTTAATGTGAATTAATGTATTTATGTTCACAAACTAGCAAGTTTGGAAAGCAATTAACCTATCTCAGATAAAATTTAAAAGTGTAACTGCCTAATAATTGCATGTCATACCTTGATTTGAAAGGGACAAAATATTTCTACTGAATCATATCTATTCTTTAGTCAGAGTTAGATCAAGTTTAATATAGGTACAAAGTTCATTAGAAATAATTTTTAGAATTCTAGTTTTTTAAAGGTGCAAAATGTGTACTGCATCTTTATGTTTATCTTATTGATAAATATAAGCAATATGTTCAAATATTGGTAATACATTCTTTGTATGGCAAAGTTAGAATTTGAAAAGTTCTAGGGGGAAGAAACATTAGTGAAATAGGTAATTGTTCCATAGTTCAAAGGCATGAGACACTAGGATGTCATAGAAAATTTCTAAGGAATAGCTAATCTATCCTGGTAACTAAATGTGTATTAGCTCAGTATCTACAGAACTTGGAAGGCCAATGAAATTGAAATAAATAAGAGACCATGATATAATGCTGTAATAAAAGCCTCATGCTTACATTGGTTCAGAACTCTGCATTCATTTATCTGTTCATTGCTTTACTAGAATATTAAATGTGGAAAATAAACTCTGATAGATGCTGGAGATATTGAGTGAAACAAAATTGAAAATATCCTTTTCTCAATTATTTGCATCGAATTTTATTGTAGAGAAATTTCTGAAACACAGTAAACAGAAAGACCCAGGAGGTTTGCTAACTGTGACTCATTCTCCTGCTGCTGTATGGGAATGGTACAGGATGGTATTTACTAAACTGATACAGTGAGGAGAGGGATCAGCTGGGATGAAAGAAAAGCAAGCTTTTCGTTTTGTTTTATTGATTTTTTTTAATGAGAAGTCTCATAGATATTCATACTGAGATACAAAATAGCTAATAGTGAATCTAGGGGTCAGAGTGAGATTGACTGAGTAGATCAGCTTTAGATGAAACTAAATGTCACAAGGTGAATGAGAGGAATTAAAAAAAGAATATGCTAGAGAACATGGTTTTCTGTAAGAATGGGATCCTAATTAGAATAAGTGATACTCTGTGTATTATAATGTGTCAAAATTCATGTAAAAAGAACAAATCAAAAAGAAGAGAAAGTCTTCTACAGTGTGATATTGACCTGCCAGCCTACAGAAGACGCAGAACCTTGGATTGAGAAAGAAGGATTGATGATATTTTACTTCTAGGACTCAACAGAGTAGAATGCTTTGAATGATGATGAAAAGTAAAGTTGGATGAAAATGGAACCAGCCACTGGATTATAAGGATGTGGAAATCAAGAGTAGTATCTTGGACTGGACTTGATATTTACACTGGAATGGATAGAGAAAATGATATTAGCAAATGTTTGAAAAACACGGAGGAATACGACAACGCATAAATAACTGCCACAGAAAACTCATAGAAATTAGGAATTAAAAGAAAAAAAAAAGAATGTAAAACCAGAATTCAAATAAGACATAATAGAGAGGAAAATTGAAGAATAATCCAAAAAAATACAGGAAAAATATAGTAATTTAAATATAACATATTCAACACCAACTTTAAAAGTTTGGCTCATCAAGATTTAATGAATCATAAAGGAGATCTGGAGAAATTAATCAGAATGCAACAAATAGAACTAAAGCATAAGAAGTATAGAAAAAGTATAAGGACACAGAGAATTGAATAAGTTTCAGTAAATACACAAAATAAGCTTTGAAAGGAGAGACCAAAAGAAATTCTAAGAAAACAATATTTAAAGAAACAATGGTTGAAAATTCTTCAGAATTGTAGGAAATCAAGGGTATTCAAATTGAGAAAATGAGGACATCAGGTCCTGGGAAAGACCAAAAAGAAACAACTCCACATGCTGATATATCACAGAAAAATGGAATATAAGAAAGATGTCAAAGATACTACAGTGTATCAGAGAAAGATCAAACAGATCATTTACAAAGGATCAACTACATGATTGAGAGTAGAGTCTCATCTGCAAATTTAGTGCCAGAAGAACATGGAATATCAGAATGAAAAGAAAATAATGGCATTTTCAAGTATAAAAACACCAATAATGTTTACTAGGTACACATTCTCCCTGAAAGAACTGCCAGAGAATATTCTTTATAAGAAGAAAATGAAACCTTGAAGGAAGGAGGAGAAAATAGTCAATTTTAGGGAAAGAAATTATAAAGCATACTGGTATATCTAAAATATACCAAATGTTTACATGACTAAGTGCAAGGTGGTAATAAATGCCAAATAAAAATAATGTGGGAAATAGGAGGACGAAGTCCAAAAAGAACTTCTAGAAGGCCTGATGGAATCACCATCCCAGTCATAACAGGTCAACTTCCTGGAAAATGCATTACAGGATGCTCCTCCAATAGGGACACTGTCACTTTCCTTCCATGTACACAGGACATATACACATCTGTGTATTCTTTTTAAACCTTTCCATATATTAAATTATCTCCATTAATACTTTCCCAGCAATCACTGTTAACATCCCTTTTGACTTGGGGTTTTGTTTTATAAGAAGGATTTAGTAAAGGAAAAAACTTTCAGAGTTTCTAAAAATATTCCATTACAGATTATTGGAAAAAGTAGTTCAAAATAAATATCTACTTTCAATAGTGAAGTCAGTCAGAAATGAAAACCTCAAAGGTCTAACATTATAAATCAAATAAAATTCCCAGATTTTCAGGGACATACATAAATATTGCATATTGTATATTTGGTTTTGTGACTCTCGATTGCTAGATGGATAACACTGAATTCTGTATTTGTGATTCATGCTTGCAAATCTAATTGTAGAATTTTCTTAAAATTGTGTCCACATAAATAGCTAACTGCAATTTTAGCTATCATATGACATAAATGCCTCTCTCTAGAGGTATCAAACAATTAGCAAGTCTAATACTGACTAATCAAAATCTCTCTCTGTTCACCATATAACACATTTGTTACTGCTACTTTGATAGATTATTTGAATGTGAACTATGTCACATTGCCATGTTTTCCAGAGACCTAAAGTCTTTGTGCTCTGCAGTCACTGTGCTTCCCAACCTCCTGATGTTCCTTAGCAGGTATGTGACATAAGACAAATTTGAATTTTATTATAGAGAAATTTCTGAAAAAATGATACAAGTGACCAAAACTTTCACTTAGGAATGTCAGTCATCATAACAAAACACAGTTTTCTTAATAGATAATAAATACACACAGCAAAAAAGAGATGCACTAACAGAAACTTTTAATAAGGCTTTCAGATGTTGAAACAGTGTTGTTAAAGTCCTTTTGGCTTGAACAAAGTGTGAAAACCAAAACAGGTTAGTCACTTTGATATTTAATACCTGGACCTCATATCATCATCTCACCTTTTGAAATATGTCTAATTAATGTGTGTCTCCCTTGATTGCCAAATCTAATTTGGCTATTTCCATATTTATTCATTCACTATTTGGAAAGTCGAATGGTGTGTCTTTTTCACCCATAGTATTGCCTATCAAAATAAGATTCCTGATTTACAAAAATGTTAGTTTAATTCATTCCAGCTTCCATTTAATTTTCCTCTAGCATGAGGAGCTATAACTATTTAATAGAGTTTTAATGTAAATATCCATATCATATGGGTCCCTGGTGTTTAAATGTGTCTTTATTCTGCTAGAAATAAAATTTTACTTGGTATCTAGAACCAGTTCATCCTATAATGTTTTGGGACTAATTGGCTCACTACAGTCAATTAAATGGAATATTTCTTACAAAGACAAATCTATTAAAGTCTAATTGTGGTTGAGCCCATCGTTAAAATTCTTGGGACTGACAGCGACAGGACACCAGAAAAATTTCAGCTGGAGCAATCAACATTTCTTCCTCAGTCAACATGTAATTTTTAGTGAGCATATTTCTTCTTTCTAGAAGAAGAATAATAGCATGATAGTAACAGAATTTTGACTATAATGTCATTTTGAAGTTAGATGTTAGTAATCTATCAGATTTCTTTTTTAGCTAATTGGAAAAGAAAAGGAATAGGGAATCAGGGTTCTCATTCTACTGGGAACTTAGAGACAAATTAAGATGTTAGATATAATTAAATCAGAACTTTCAGGGACAGGAGAGGCCATCTATCTAGTCAAATTGCTTTCATCTGAGAAGGTACAAGCTTAAATCATTCTTTCATGATTATTATCTGAACCCTTTTACAGATGTCCTCAATTAGCTTAGCAACTCACAGCAATGTTTCACAGTTTTCGCAGTTGGTGAAATCGTCCTTATATCTGAATACCTCAAGCTGCAGATAAAATACTTTTGTTATCAATTTATATGTTGCAAAGTGAAGAAAACTCCCCTTTTCTTTAATTGTTCTTTATTCTTCAGGTTTCCTTCCAAGCTCCTCAGTTATTTTATGATTCTTCATTAAAATTTAATTCAGCCTCTCTTCCATTTGCTTTTCTTGATGCTCACACTGGACAAAGGGATCTTAAAATGTGTCTTTAAGTGAAACTGAATATGACAGCACTCCTTTCACTGAGTACTGTGTGTATGTGTGTGTGAATGTGTAAGTTTCAAAGCTCAGCAATCCTTTACCAAACACACATTTTAATGATATTTACAATTAATTTCTAGATTTGTTCTCCACCCCAAAGTTAAATTACCATCTACCTTGGGAAATTATTTCATAAGAATGAATTCACACATATGAAGAACTACAAGAATATATTAGAGAACTCAACTCACTGTAGGAGTGAAGGTGGCATCATTGATGGAATGCATGTGGCCATAAAGTGAATGTTCACATCTACCCTAGAAAGACAAAGAAGGAATCAAGTCAAATAAATTCCATTTGATATGTGAAAATGAATTGAATAATAATTGTATTCAAGCTTTAAAGTTTTTTTTGTCCTGTAATAAAATTAATACATTTTCAAGATAGAAAATATTAGCTTTTGCCCTCTAGTACCACTCACAATCGGAGAGGGCTGATGAGCTGTCAGAGTACTGCTATCTACTCTGAAATTCCATTCCTGCTTTTATACCATGAGTGGGTTGTAAATCTTTCACATGGCTCCATTGGGCAGCTCATTTCCAGAACAGCATTTCTACTATTGCTGGGGTAGGGGCTGGGTTTTTTCCCGTTTTAAAATTATAGGACCACAGTTTAATTCCAGAATATTGTAAGTTCAGCATTAATATCATTCCATGTATAAAACTTGTATAAAACATACATGTTGACATTTTTAAGTACACAATAAGCGTTTGTTTTGTGAAAACTATACTTTGCATCAGTTTATCTTCCCTACCTCCCCACCCCACATAATTTAACTACAAAACCTTCAAAATTCAGCTTAAATGTTTCCAGGAACCATGGACCCATAACATGTTAGATTGGAGCTTTACACATGGGGCCTTCATTTTGACACAAATGTTCCAAGGGTATTCTTGACTGTATTAGGCAAATAATCCAAATACTTTAACAGAACCAGAGTAAATTATGTCTGGATTATTGTTCAGATAGTCTTGAAATTTGAAATCAACAATGATTTTTGAGCAATTCATATGTTAGGCACAACTCTAGGTAATCAGCTGTGTCAACAAATGAAACAGAACTTTATCCTCTTGGACCTTCTATTAGTGGGGAGAGATAGATACTTTGCTAAAAAGTCATAAAGAGTGTTAGGGGATGAAAAAATGTGTAAAGAAAAAAAATGTCTGACAGAGATATCATTATTTTGAGGGTTGCATATATTAGATCCCAGAAAATAATATCCCAAAGTGTGATACTTTAACATACAGAGCTGAAGAAACAGTTTCAGGATCAAGGATCTCTGGTCTTCCCCTGTTCCTCCCCCAAACACAAGGAGGGGCTCTCTCTGAAGCTTTCTTACCTGACTAAGGAAAGCTCTTTCAAAAGTAATATGGTTATTTTGGACTTACTTCCTAATGTCTCATTATCCAGGGAAGGGAGACTGAGGATTGTTACCACAAGGAGCCTGTCACAAGCTATTGCCCACTGTTCAGCTTCCAAGAGAACCATTTACAGTCTGGTGTCTATCCTTTGGGCCCAGATGATTCCTCTAAAAGTCATTTACTTCTCCTCTGAAATTGCTTGAAGCTTCCCACTTCCTGTTTCCTCATGAAAAGGGTATTTAAGCCTCAACCATTTGTCCCTTCTTTGGGCTTCATGTTGGAAGGGCTCCCATGCTGAGGCAGGTTAATAGCTTTGTGTGTAAGTTAATAGTTTGTATGAAATTTCCCTCAGCCCCTTTGGCAGCCATAGGCAAATCACACTATCAAGCAGAGTGGTTTAGTTTGACCTGGCTCAAAAGGCAAGGTCTGAACAAAGACTGGAAGTAGTACAGGAGTTAGCCAAGCAGATATCTGGAGGAAAAGGGTTCTAGGAAGAAAGAAAAGCTGGAGCCAAAGTTCTTCAGGGTAGAGTTTGCCAGAAGCTTCTGGAACATCATGGAAGCCACTGGAGAGAAGTCAATCAGGAAGAGAGTAGATTTACTCAAAAGAGTAAATTGACATTCACTGTCTTACATTTACTAAGGCTAGAAAAGAGCTCACAGAAGAAAACCCCTACAAAATAAGATACTGAGGATAGATTATCATGATGTTCCCTTGTTGTGACCAGTCACTTGTTTCTAAAGTAAGTAAAATCAGAAGGCTATATAATTAAGTTCTACTTAGTCCACACTTTCCCCATTATTTTCAGCAAGTACAATTTCAAAGAGCTATTTTATAGAATCAGTGCATGCTATTAATCTCTATTCATAGAATAGAGAACTTTCCCCACATAAATTTCACCAAAAATATGTAGAAACACTTTGGCATTCCCTCAGGATCTTCTCTTTTCCCCGTTATTCTACTTCCATATCTTGATACCATTAAAACTTTAAAGCAATTATACTGAGAACTTCAAATCATCTAAATTCCCAAAGTAGAAATAAATTACTCATAAAGCCAAATAGGCAAAATGTAAGACGTTATAATTTTTTTTTTTATCTTAAGGACTTTTAAGTTTGATTTTTTAAGACCTAATACATAGTGATATAATATTATACTTGTAGAATGAATGTTAATATTTTTACAAAGTTTTAAATTGACAAATATGTCTTAAAATATATTTGTACTAATAAAAGTTTTGTATTTGGCCCTCTTCTAACTTGAGAATCTCTTAAACTATTTGATTAATTGGTAAGGAAAATGTAGCTTCCTGATTCAAATCCTGAATGCCAAGTTTTAATTCAAAGGAGGTCTCTAAGGCACTCTTGAAAAGTCCTGGAAATATGGGGTTATAATGGAAATGCTGACGGACCATATTTGTGCTGCTATAACAAAACCTGACTCGAAGATAAATGTTTCATGAATTAAGAAAAGTTAAAAAAGCTTTTCTTTCTAGCTTTGTTCCCAAGATAAAAGTGAATCTACTCTTTTTGAGGTAGAGGGAATATGTGGGTTACTAATATTCTAGCCTGCAAACAGCCTTAATCAAAAGCAATACCCAAACCAGGACATTAAGTTTTGGAATACCTTCTCTGATGAATTCTTGTCAGAATTGTTTTCTTTCAAAGGAATAGAAAAAAGGAAAAGGGGAGGAAAGAATTAAAAAAAAAATTATCATGTGACCAAGAAACACTGCTTTAATATTTGATTCTCTCAAAGAAACTATGCCCAATAATGGTCTGTTATCACTGGCCCTGGGGGTGGAAAGGCCTGGCTCTTGGTTTCTGGGTCTTCCACCTAATGGCCTTGTGACCTTCAACAAATTGCCTCACTTCACTGTGCTTCAGCTGCCAGCTATGTACAATGATGTAATGGTATTTAAGCTTCAGCTTTGTTGGGTTAATTAATTGAGCTAACAATGCATTTGAAATGCTGGTATTCTGGCTAGCAAAAAGTAAGGGCATAACAAATAATAGCCCCTAATGCCACAGACATAAAGGCTGAGACTTCCAGATTAATATCTCCCCCTTGATCTCTCCACTGAGCTCTGCAACTGAGTATCTTCACCTTCTTTAAAGAGGTCTGGAGGCATCTGTGTGGTTTGTTCTGGGCCCCCAGGATTGCTCTACAGGCCCCTGCCCAGTGGCATGACCTGCTGTCTGCAGACTCCATCACCTGGGCTCCAGACTCTCTGGCTTCTGCTTGGATTTGGCAGGACTAGACCTATAGTATTCAGCAGAGCAGCCGGGTAGAGACAATGGGCGAATCACCTCCTTCTGCTCTGTTCCTTTTCAGCTTTGATTTTGTTAAAGGTTCCATCCTTTAGCAAATTCCAAACTCCTGTTGTGTACGGCCTCTCCCATGCCTGTAGTGCCCCCTAAGGCCAGTAATGTCCTCCTTGCCCTGCCTTTTCAGACCCAGTCAGTTATGGCTTCCCGTTTTTCTACCCATGTGTGTCCCTGTGTTGGTTCCTTAGCCCTTCCCACTTCTCTGGACACCTTGTGCATTTTACTCCCTGTGTCATTTGTTTCCTGCTCGTGATCTCTCTGATAGAGCATGTCAGACACACCAGCAAAAGGAGACTTTGGGATTACTATTCCCCACTGTATATCTTGACCCTCATCAAAGCTTTCTGTTATAAAACATACACATGACATCACCAGTTGCTCACACAAACAAGACACAAGGCAATCAAACCTGGTGATCAGAATGCATCTCATTCTTCCCCAACGTCCCCCAACCCTCATCCAGCACAGTCAGCCCTACTATGTCCACAGCTGTCACTCTTCATTACTTTACCATGGGCAGAACATCATCTCATGGAAGCTGATGACAGCAGTCACCTTCACATTGGCCTCTTTTCTCCCACTCTTACACGACTGGTTGTCCATCCTGTTTGCCACAACCAGGGAATCAGTAAAACCTGTATCAGAGCATATTATGCTCCAGCATAGTATGAGTACATTACCATTGTACTCAGAATCAATCCCAAGCTGTTTACTGAGATCCAAACACTCTATATGTGTCCACCTGTCTGACCTCTTTCTTCACCACTCTTCCTTCTCTTTTGCTGTGCTCCTTGAATATTTATTTTCATTTCTTCATTGTCAGAACTTTCAGAGTAAAGAGCAAAGGAATCTGGGTGAAAAGATGATTGAAAAACAACCATAAGATAAAGACATCCAGCAAGATTTCAGAACTACTCTCCCTGAGGCATTTGTTGACAGTTCTGTAGAATCAAACCTAGATCCTTCTCCTCCTTTCTAGGAGATTTTTTTTTTTTTGTATTTCAGAGTAAAGTTTTCTCTAGTGTGCCTTTTCTGTCTATCATCTACCTCTGTCTACCCACTCACCCTTTCCTGGAATTTCATAGTTTGGGGACTCCTTTCTATGGTACATAAACCCATGTACACACAAGGTACACCTGGTCTGCAATGCTTCCCCCAGGGAAAATTGGGTCATGGAAAATAACAAGCTGCTCTGTGAGTAAATAAATGGTTTGAGCTCAGATTCAGAAACCTCCTGTTTCCATCAGGATAATGAATAAATAAACAGAGATATAAAACATAAAGCTGTCACACTGGCCTTCCCAATTATCTAACAGGCCTAGCCTGCTGCTGCCTTAACTTTTTTGTTTTCTCTATCTTGGATGTTTTCATGCAGGTATACACACATCTTTGTCCTCATTCTGCTTTCAATGCAAACACAACTTTCTCGGTGGCATCTGAGATCTAATATTCCTGACCGCTCTGCTCCCTGTCATTTTAGTAGCAGAAAACATTTTATGAACCCCCCCTTTTTTTTCCTCTTGGGAACAAGAGCTAGTCTTGAGTTCAGAGGTTTTCATATGTTCTCTG